GTAAAAGAAGTTGACAACATCGATGAAATCTGTAGGATTCGGCAACTTCCAACCGCTTGGGCTTGAAATGTTGTTGCAGTAGTTCACATAATACCTCAAATGTTTTTTCTTTTGGGTTCTCGGGGCTGCATAAATCGCGAAGAGTGCTATATGTCTTCCTACCAATTACGGAGATCATCACGGCGACCTTTTTCTGACTAGCTGCCCGAACAACAGCCGCAGTGGCATCAGCAGCACATTGTCCAATATCGTTTGCTAAAAAAAACTGGTCAAGTCTTTCAAGGTAAGCCGTAAAAGACTCAGAGGAAGGATCAAATTCACCAACAGAACCAAACAACGGTGAAGCCATGGCGGGAATATTTGCAAACGCACCAGAGAGCACGTGCGTGGAAGTATAAACGAACGAAACGAAGTGGAGTAAGATCATCCGGTGTAGGAAATGGCACGAAATAGCCATATAATACAAAAGTATCCCATCCTCGTCGCCAAAGTGTTGTATCTTAGGAAATTCAAAGACGAAATTATAAACAAACCCGCAATGAACATGAACATTCCAAGATCTTTTTATTCCTGTTCTTTTCTGCGCAGGCGCATCCATGTACACGTAACACAACCATGACGTAACTTAATATAATGTAACACAAGTATAACAAAACAAGGTCACGATATAACACGGATCACAATTTGTGTTGTAGTTTTCACCTTTTGTGCTTTAAGTAGTAGCTCCAAAGGATAACTAACAATGGCTGAACGAAATTCGAGATAAAGAAGCGTTCCAGCACGTTTAAGAGAGAAAGTTGAAGTGAGAAAGTTGTGGAAACGAAAGTATTGCATGCAGTATGGTTGTACCGTGGCGATTAGTAATCAATAATCTTGCCTTTATTTTTGAAAGAAACGTTTCCTAGTTTACATAGTAAGAACTTAATCGAAACCTAATACATGTAAACATCTGTTTCACAGAGACTTGGTACCTTTTCGACTACGAGGATGTTGGCAACTTAAGGGTGTTAGGTGAAGACAAAATTCGGCACATCTTTCCCGACGAAAAAGCTGAGGAAATTCAAGCTGGTGACTGTTGTAAGGCCCCTTTGGCTTCAAAATGGCCAGTTTTATGATGCCAAGGTGCTACAGAAAGGCCGTAAGTTCCATTTTACTGTGCTTATAAGTGCGACCAGAAGTCAAGGTTTACGGTCACCTCGTTCCACCAAATAGTGACTTCGTTCAAAAGGTAAAGTTAGCTTTTAAAAATGCACCTAACCCCAAACATTACTTTTGTAAGTATTATCTAGGAGTTTTGTATGGAATCGACTTCGACTTTGTAAGATTAGAAGTGGTCCTTAATTTTTTAATTTCAAGCTCTGTGACACAAACTGCCAATTCAGAGGTGAAGCCAAAACCTGAACCAAAGGAAGAGAAGAAGAGAAAAACTTGGAACATTAGGTTAGTTTGTGTGGGAGCGATTGGCAAACGTATAGTTCTCTTTAAATGTTATGTTAAAACTGGATTTTCTTTAGCATGCATCTGAATTTTTTCTGAGGTATTATGTAGCCAGAACAGTAGCAGTAATGATTAACGAAGTGCTTGTGGCCACTCTGAGGTGGCATAAAACTCAAGGTAGCATTCACTGATAATGACTTCAATGCGTCATTTACCAACTTTAATGTGTTTGATTGTGCACAGGGTTCTAAAACCTCAGCAAGGACACACTTCTCCACCTCTACCGGACAGAACAAGGTATCTTTAATAATTTTTTTTCTAACCGGAAATGTTTTGCAAATGCACCCACACCACAGACTCATTAATTTGCTGTTTCTCACAGGTCAGTTACTCTGTGATTAACTCTCGTGATAAGGCAGTGAAATTCTGGGGATATTTCTTGTTTTCTTTATTTTCTGAGTTTGATTGATAAAATGCTTTGCTTAAAAACTTTATATAGTGTTAGTTTGGTCCGTGATTAGTTTGTGATCAAGACTGGTTTCATTTGCTTTTTGTGAATATCATATAAATGTAAGTTTATTTTCAATTGGTTTTTCATAGGTCCAAGAAGCCAAACTCCCGACCAGCCACAGCCCCAGAGAAACCTCTGTAAGTTAATTTTATCAAAATTTGCATGTTAGTTAGATTAGATATCCTTTTGGTCAGGGTACACAAAACTGAATCCTTTTTTTTTTAATTTCATTTCATTATCTATTCAATTTAATTCAGTAATTCCAGCTTTCAAAAGGATGACGCTCTTTACCGACCCAAAACAACAGATGGTACGTTCAGGAAACCTGTCAAATCATCCAGATCCAGCTTGGGGGGTGGACATCAACCTCCAAATAGACCAGCACGATAAAGCTGTAAAGAGCTGGAGAAGGAGATATCGTCACTAAATCAAGTTATTGAGGATTCACAAGCAAAGAGAAACGCCCTGGCCATGGAGACAGACAACGTTATTTCTGAAAAAGCCACCGAGATGGCTGCTTTGAGGAAGAAACTTTAGGCAGCTACTCAAGAGATTCGTGATGCCAAAGCTGAACTGGAAGCTATCAAAGGCGAGTGCAAAGAAAAAGAATCATCTCGACTTGAATTGATGAAGAAGGAGTTTGGCGAAAAAGTGACAGAATTGGATAACACAAAGAAAGATATTTGTGATAAAATGGCTGCATTGAACGACCTAAGAAAACAAGTTACAGAAAAGGAGACGGAACTGAAGAACATTAAAGAGGAGAATTTAAAGACGACAGCGGAATTGAAGAAAGCCCTTAAAGAAGAGATCGCAGTTTTGTCCAAGAAAGAATGCGAAGTTTATCAGGTAGATCGTTCTGTAGACTTGAACAAAGAAAGTGCTCAAGACAACTCAGGAATAGAAAAAGAAATCACAAATAGTTCAAAAGACATTGATTGAAAAATATTACATGTCATCTACTTGTAGTAAAGTATCCTCCAGAACCTTTATATTTATAGAGATCTACAACTCTATGTTCTTACATGGATTCTCTTGACACTTTTCCCCTCTATATCTTCATCAACCTCTGTGAGGGTATCATTACAAGGGGCTGGGGTGTCAAGTGCCCCTTTGATCCATGGCACAGAGGGCCTAGCTGGTTTGGAGTGTGTTTTCAAACTTATTAAGTATTACTTTGTTAGTAATACTGGTATTGCATACCAGTATTACTAACAAAGTAATTCTTTCAATCTTCAGTCACTGTATCTTCAACATTAAGGTTCTGCAAGTTGTAGATGTTGATGATCCTCACGTAGCAAGCGTTAGCAGGTAGGAGGTGAACATATCATGCAATTTCTCTCAAAATTATTAATTTAGAAATCACAAATAGTTCAAAAGACATCGA